AATGTTTCCTGCCCATGGACTACTAAAAGATTTTAAACTTAACTCTTCTAATGTGGCCTTTTTTTATGGACCAGCAACTTTCCATTTGTCGGGTCACTGAAGTCGACACCTACAACTGACATACCACATAGTCTGCACAATTCATCCCCGAACTTCGAGGGCCAGTATTTCACAGGGTTAGCTACTTTGATTCCTTGCGATCTTGCTACGGCACATTCACAGGGTTAGCTACTTTGATTCCTTGCGATCTTGCTACGGCACGAAAAGTGCAAAAACGCATAGTCGCACCGGCCCGCTGATGCGTTCCACCCTGGGTTCATCTCAAGATCGACAAAAGATACAGGGCTGAAACTTTCGGAACTTAATCTACATGCACGTACGGGCTCCAAACCTCAAAACAGGCGCCATTACCAGCGTGGTACCCGCGTACGGGCCCGCCAAATTTTTTTCGGATAAGTTCATAACTCGGGGATCTGAGAAGCTAGAAAGCTGAAATCTTAGGGGGATAGTCCCCGTCCAAGTGGGTATTAGTGAGCTCAAATCCAGCCCCCGGGTAAGCTTGTTTCACGCGTATGAGCCCGCCAAAATTTTTTTCGGGTAAGTTCATAACTCGGGGATCTGAGAAGCTAAAGGATTGTAATTTTAAGAGGATATACCGCGTCCACCTAAGTTTCATTCAGCTCAAACCCAACTCTCGGGTATGCGTGGTAAACACGCACGAGCCCGTGAAAATTTTTTTCCAGTAAGTTGCTAACTCAAGAGCCAGGGAAGCTAGGAAGCTGAAATTTTAAAGGGATGTTTTCTGACAGCTCTAGCGGCCTGTCTTAATTTGTTTCGTTATAAGCATTTGCTGAAGAAGCCGGTGCTGGTAGCAACAAAAACTGCGGGGAAATTTGGAAAAAACGCATCTTCGCACGAGCAGCCCCTGCGTTGGCCAATTATTGTAACTGCATTCAGCCATCGAACAATAGGTAGCCCTAACAAGTGCTCGTTGGCAGGGTGCTAAGCGATAACGGCGAGAGACGTCGCGAAATAGCATCGGTGGAGAAAGCTAGAGGGTCTTCACAGTTTCGGCCGAGCCGAGCCGAAGTTTAGTAATTGCTGGCATGGTGCGTCTCGCAACTCGGCTCCCGTGCCTGACTGACCGGAGTTTCAGTCAGTCACGAGCTGACGAAGTGCCCAGTCGAAGTCGCTCAAAAGGTTGCTTGAAAGCAAGCTAATGGCTTTCTGGTGTCTATTGGTACCAGATGAGCTTTGGAGGATGAGTTGAGTAGCGGGGTTGGGCAGAGTGGGTGAGTGGGAGGGGGGGAGGGGGTGAAGCAGGGGAGGTGCTGCACTCGGGTCGTCGTGTGCTATGGCGGTGTTGGACGTGGCAGTGCTGCCGAGCTGAACATGCGTGTCATCGGCTGGGCGCCTGCTGCTTCGTTGGGTTGTTTCAGGCATCTGCACGAGAGATGGGCAAGAAGCAGCATCAGAAGGATAAATTGTGAGTGCTTGCATTTCTCATTAACAAGCATTTCGGTATTCGGTGCCTGTAGGGTGGCCAGCTGTAGAGGACAGGGCCTCTGCTTCCGGGAACGGACAGATTTGAGCCCTCGTTCGGCATCCATTAGCCAACTTCCAGCAAATGTTGCTTGAGCTTGTTCGCGGCAGAAGTCGTAGTGGAGGAGCGGAACTGCGATCGGAGGGATGATTTGGTCTTTCTCGCTGCTATTCCCCACTTTCTGCTTCCTGACCCATCCCTCGTGTGCTGTTGGCCCTCGGTGCGCGAGGCTTTCTTGCTCTCAGTTCACTAAGTTTCGCGATCGATTCTGCGTTTTTTTTTTTTTTGGCTCGCAGCTGTTTACTTGTTGTTCTTTAGTGCCAGTGTGGTTCAGGTCGATAGCAGTGCTGTGCTGTCGGACAGCCGGAGAAGATGGTGCTCGTGCACGGACGAGCACTTGTCAATGCCTGTTCTAGCTGCTGTGGATGTTGCATTTAAGATGACCAGTTTAATAAAGGGGGGG